CTAATATTGCATGCTTATTTGCCAAAGTTTAGAATTAAACAAGAAACAAGAGAATTTGAAACCAACACATAGAGTCAGTTTTCCTGCATACGCATTGGAAGTTCAATTCTCCTACTTGTTATTTTATTCCAATCAACCTTAACTCGGTGACCTCCAACTGGTGAGCTCATATTCTCTTAATTGGTTGATGACCCATTTTTTTGATGGCCACGTTTTTGAAGGCCCACTCAGAAACTCAATAAGGGGACATCGGATTCGTGCCCAGCATCTAGAATTACCTTAGAAAGACTAGGTTTAATCTGAAAAGTTTTTGATCAACTGAGAAAATTCCCGCGTTAGTAGTTTTCAGCGAAAACGATAGCTTCCTTTTACTTTTTGGAGAATTAAGAGAAAGAAGTTGCAAAAGCTGACGCCAACTATAGATGAATCTCAAAAAATTGATATGAAGGAAGAGGAGTGGGAACAAAAAATTCTAAAGACGACTTGAACTCATTTGTGCACAATGTGAACATCCCTGTAAAGCGTTCTAAAGTATCATGCAGTGGAAATTCTTTCTCAGCTGAGTGCTCGTGCATTAGTTTCTGTTAAATTATCTTTGGAAGATAAAAATATGATGGTGGCATTACAGTGGCGAAATATTCATGTCACTTATTCAAATATGTTGAATTTTTTCAATTAGGTAAGTCAATAGGTAGAGATAAGGATTAGATTTTGAAAGAAAAACTTACTGCAGAAACCGTTTTTTTGGGTTGTATAAAAAACTTTGTACAATTTCTTCCAAAAATTAGAAGAGATTTCGGTGTTTACGAAAAGGAACTTGAAAATTCCACTTTCCCTTACGTACTCTCTCTCCCTACTTTTAGAGTGGACTGGTTATTTTACACGATCTAAATTTCAACAGCTGATCAGTGGTTATGACACAGTCTATTGGAATTCCACGGTTGATGCTTACTTTGAAATTAATCAAAGAGAAATTAATAAAAAGAAAGCAATAAATTGTTATTCTTTTTTGATGCGTGTCCGACGTGCAACACCAACATATCGTCGACTTCTTAAACAGCAACAAAATGCTTTATGGTGAATATATGAGAGGAGATCACAGTCGTTAAAGAACTTGTAAAGAAGCACTGTGAAATATTTATTTCGAGATTGGAGTTCAGTCTTCCTTAGCCCTTTTTTTTCTTGTTCACTTCACAAACGTGGTGAGAGAGTTTCTCGATTAGAAAAAGGTTTATTTTCTTAAAATTTGAGAGTGTAGAAAGACAGATTTATGCACCTAAGGCAGAGGATACGTGCACTCTCTATAAAATGTATATTAATTTTTATTATTATTTTTATTGTTAAATAACCTGGACAAAATCCACACTCCCTCTTTCCAATCCTCGCGCAATAGATATTTGTGAAACTCTATTTTTTTTCTCTGTCACCACTTTTTCTCCTACTAAACTCCTTTATTTTTTTTCCTTCTTCATTGTTCAAAAGTCTTTTTGTACATAAGATTTCTTCTTTTTTTTCTACTACTGAAGTAGAAAAATATACTATTAAAAGCTACACAGAGTAGCGTAAAGAAAATAAGTTGCAGAGTAGGCTAACTTAGATCCCGAGAGCCTCGAAGGTGCAAAAAGCACTTTGATAGAGAAGCCTTGATTGCATAGAAGTTTGAAATTATTCTTTATTCATTCACAAAAGTGAGACTTTCATTTATTTTCCAAACTTTGTAAAAAAACAAACGCATAAACTATTTTAAAAAATCTGTACACACAAAAGGAAAACGAAGTTACAAGAAAAAAGTTCAAAGAATTTCCTATGCATTTCATTTGTTCATAACTAAATCGGGAACGATGAGCAGACACATTGTACTTGGAGGCGAGAGTCGAGTCCAAAGCTCTGAATGCATAAAATAAAAGAAAGTTAAGAGCAAAGTAATTAAAGAAGTAGAGTTCAAGAAACTTACCGAAGCAGAAGAAATAATTTGAACTACTTCACTTTGGGTTTTGAAATATCATTTTGCAAAAAATTTTTCAAAGTTTTTTGGATGTATATACACGTATGTCATTAGAATACTTTGGATTTTACTCATACCTGCCTACTCAAAAAAAACTCAGGAGTTGAGACTGGTTTTTCAAAAAAAAACTCGAAAATTTTTCAAAGTTTTTTTGATCATACTCTAGCCATCATCATACTAGTGAATACTTTAGATTTTAGTCTAACATGCCTATCAAAAAAAAACTCAGGTGTTGAGACTGGTTTTTCGAAAAAAAACTCGAAAAATTTCTAAGTTTTTTGATGATGCCTGATGATGCATTGACTAGGAGTCTAGAACCCATACTCATGGGTAACCGATGAGTCTGGAATCCATCGAAAAAGGCCCACAATGAAGGATTGGATCAACTTTTTGGTATCCCAAATTCGCGCCATCCTATTTCGGCCGGCCGAAAATTTTGGATTTCAGTCTCATAAAAAGGCATTAAAAATGGCCAAAAAGTGATCAAAAAGGCATCATAGTCAGATTGGTTTTGGGACGAAACCAATCTGCCATTTTTGGCAGATTGGTTCCATTTTTGGGTACCCTAGTACCCCTCAGGGTCACTAAATCCATTCTGGTCAGAATGGATTTCATAAATTTTCGTCCGTTCCCCCGGAAACCAATCTCGATTGGATTTTGGAGCGAAAAAGGATGGAGCGAAATAGGACGCTCTCAATTTTTTTTTTTGTTAGAATCGCCATTTAATTTTCTACAAAACTATGCCAAACAATTTTCTGAAAGTAAAGAGCAACGGAGTTACAGTAGAATAAAGTAAATAACATAAAAGTTACCACTTTCAAGGGCAAAATTCGTTTTTTTCTAATTTCTCAAGTTCTAAGATACCTCACAAAAAATCTTCGACAACCGTTGGAAAGAGCATAAAATTCTGCATTTAAAATTGCAACGGAAAAGTTTTCTCGAGCTTCACTTAAGGGGACAAAAAAAGTTTTCATTTTTTCACGTTTGTGAAAAATCCGGTTTTGGATTCATGTTTTTGCTCACTTCACGATAAACAATGCCATTCAATCAAAAATAATCCATTTCACTTCAATTTTTTTTCATTTTGTAGACCAGAGGTTCAGCTATCTGCTGCGAATGATCTTAAAATCATGAGCCACCTGGAGGCATTTTCAGGCACGCGCGATAGTGAAAAACACGCCTTTTTCCGACTTTTTGACCAAAGCCTGCTTTAAAGTCTCCGCAAATCATTTTTGAAAATTTTTCTGTGCTGCATCTGAAAGAGCAGGCTTTACTCTGTTAGAAAATATCGAACGCAGATGGTTTAAAATAAATACAAGGTCCGAGCAAAACAAAAACATTGGTATGAAAATATCTTTGAAATTTGCAACTTTTACCGGATGCTCTTTGTTCTCACATAACTCCGTTGCTCTTCACTTTCAGAAAATTGTTTGGACATATTTTTGTAGAAAATCAAATGGCGATTCTAACAAAAAAAGAATTGAGCAGATTGGAGCAAAACTGACCGAGTTATAGCGAAAACAAAATAGTCCCATTGTTTATGATACACCCGTTACTTACGAGGGAACGTTCTCAGGTGACACCTCCCGATTTCCTTCATTCATACGCCATTAGAGAGGTCATATAGGGGTATGAAAAAGCCTAAAAGGATAGGAGCGGAATTTGCTTGCTTCAAAAGTTAGGAGGGTTTTTCTTTTCTTCCCAGCGGAAAATGCATAAGAATGAAAAATTCATAACTTCACCAAACAGCCATCAAACTCTTTGAAATTTTTACTGGTACTTGATGCTGGTCAATGCAATCTAGCCTGAAAGTTTCAGGACGACAGCTCAGCTACTTTTTGAGATACGGAAATTTCAAGTCTTCAGCCGTTTTGGCCTTGTGCAGTTTTATAAAGAAAAATCTATAACTTTCTCAAATCACACTCAAACTTTCTCGAACGTACAGGATATATGTATCTTTGATCAAGAAACACAACTCCAGTGTCTAATAAAGGTTTTGAGGTATTCACATAAAGCCTGGTTTTAGAGAGGGTCTCGAGAAACCCTATTTTAGAAAACTACTCAAAACCTTTATTAGACGTTGGCATCATGTTCCCTGATCAAAGATACATATATCCTGTACGTTCGAGAAAGTTTGAGTGTGATTTGAGAAAGTTATAGATTTTTCTTTATAAAACTGCACAAGGCCAAAACGGCTGAAGACTTGAAATTTCCGTATCTCAAAAAGTAGCTGAGCTGTCGTCCTGAAACTTTCAGGCTAGATTGCATTGACCAGCATCAAGTACCAGTAAAAATTTCAAAGAGTTTGATGGCTGTTTGGTGAAGTTATGAATTTTTCATTCTTATGCATTTTCCGCTGGGAAGAAAAGAAAAACCCTCCTAACTTTTGAAGCAAGCAAATTCCGCTCCTATCCTTTTAGGCTTTTTCATACCCCTATATGACCTCTCTAATGGCGTATGAATGAAGGAAATCGGGAGGTGTCACCTGAGAACGTTCCCTCGTTAGCTTTATACCAAATTCATTTTCGTGTCGAATTTGAGAAACTCGGACAGGCTGATCTTTTTAATTGAACGTGATACGCAAAAATATTTGGGCAAAAAAGAGAGTAATTTGTATCTAACCCTTACCTAAAGGTGTTATAGATTCGATAAACTGTCATTTTTATCTTTTGTAACATAAGACCCTAGGAAAAAATTTTCTTTGAATTTAAAATTCACTTAACGCCTTCAGGTTCAAAAAACGGGCTGAAACCCGAGTTTTAGCCACCATTGCAACGCGTTTTTGACCATTGTATTCTCGTTTTAATGCGTTTTTCGGCAATTTTTTTACTATAAAAAAAGTTTGGAAAGCTTTCAAGAAAAAGGAAAACGTTACAGCGAATGAAATAAAATAAAAATTTTACTAGGGAAAACTGAATTTGTCTTTGTTCGGAAAAAAAGAATTTTTTTTGATTCGTATAAGCACAAATAATTTCAAAAAGGAAGGGAAGAGGTGCTACGGCTGCTCTGCAATTGGAAACTGTCTTTGAACTGCTTGTCCTTGTTGGTATGGTGCTGCACTAAGATAAATAACATGTTTCTTTGCTTCATTGTCATATTCATAACCCCATAAATGAAAAGCTGCTCCAGCCCACACGGTAAATTCTTCCTCATTAGGAAAATCAGAAAGAGATGATACATCCATACCTATTTTAACCTTTTCGTATCCATAAATATTTTTCACATCCAAATTAAATATCAATAATGTATTACCGAACCGTTCAGCCAGTTTTCGGCTTCTGCTGGTAGATGTAAATGAAGTGAATATGATATTAGCTCCGGTCTTTAAAAACTGTTGTCGTTCTTCATCGGTGACTGTTAGACCGCGATAAACGGTGAATTCACCTACGCTACTTTTGTGGTGTATATAATTAAAAAGTATAAAACAGAATGGTCCTAAGGTCTTTACTTGCTCGAGAGTCATTGTTGGGTAGTTACGAAGGACAGAGTTAAGATGTTTATACCAAAAAGATTCTTTTGTATAAAGATAAACGCAAGTTTCACCGATTGGCTGTGGAATGTCAACATCATCATATAGGTCCAGTAATTTGTCTTCTCCAAATTGTTTCACATCGAGTAACTGTTTAGCTAGCCATTGTGCTTCCTTTACTTTACCAAGTTTGATACCTTCAGCCAGAATTCCACTGGCAGCATCTCCAACAACGTCGGCATAAGTTTTCCCTTTGCAACGAAGTTCTAGCTGCCTATAATTTTTAGAGAGATCACCATGTCGCCTTAGGTACTGTAGGAGACGCTCTTCTTCAGTTTCAGAATCAGCAGTTGTCGTTGAGGCTTCTGTACTATTATTGGTAGTATTAGCCACCGTTATGGGTAACGAAAATCTTTCCTCTCTCAAATGAACGTTAGACCGATCAGTTGCCAACTCCGCACGTTTAATTTGACGTTGTCTAGTCTTATCACTCTTGTTATACTGAACTTGATGTTTAAAATTAATGATGTAGTTACCATCGAGTTCGACGTCGACTTTTTTCAAGTTGTATGCATCTTCGATTATTTCATTTTCAACGTCTGTATACTTTTTCCATGCGTCGTCTGGTTGTTTACTACCACCGGTCGATGAAGACCAGGGATCAGCTGATGAGTTCCAGTACCACTGAAAATTACGTAAACGAAGAAGAACTGGTGCTGTGGCGACTGCAGAAGTGGAGGTTGTAAAAGCAGGTTTCGAAGCCTCAGGCTTCGAAGAAGGAGAATTCGCTGAAGCAGAGGCCATCTTTCTGTCCTTTTGAAATTTATTTTAAAATGTAGGGTAGGGGTTCTTTTGTGAATGGGTGAATTTTCTTCTGTTTGTAGTATAGTGTGAGTGTTCTTTTTCAACACAAAGAAAGAATTCTCTTTTGAGCACCCTGCCTGGGAAAAAAAAGAAATTCTCTCTGCTGCTTTCTTTTTCTTTCTCTGTTATGATGTTTCTTGTGCCACACACCACATAGAGAAAATCTGATTAAAAAAACAGAGTTTTATCTTTACGCAAAAAAATATTAAATTCCAGCGTTTTTTTTTCGTTCTTTGTTATTCTGTTTCCTCTGTCAGCACAAAGAAAATTCCAATTAAAAAAAGAACAGAGTTCGGTGTGCAATACCCTCAAAAAATAAAAGAGTCACCAGAAGTGGATTCTTCTCCGTTTTTTCTTATTCTACTTCTTCTTTACACACACACAGAAAAGTCCCTTATAACAGAAGAAAACATAGTTAGGTGTAGAGCACCACCGTTCGAGATTCATTTTGTTCTTTGTTATTCTGCTTCCTCTCTCTCTCCCAGCACAAAGGCAAAATTTCATTAAAAAAAGCAACATGGGGTTTCTTCTAAAGTACCGCTCGACCAAAAAACGTAACTTACACGGGGAAAAAAGGAAAATAACACTTATTCTCAGTGCTACTTATTCGAAAAACCTGTATAGTTCAGTCTCTCTCATTCGAGTTCATAAATCATCCAACCCGTACTGACCAGTAACAACACGGTCGAAAGGGACATGGCAGCGGCACCACTTGGAGTACTTGCGCCACCAGCAAAGGCATCAGTACTACTATCTCCACCATTTCCACTTGGAATTGTTGCACCTGATGCTGTAATTCCACCACTGTTTGTGTCAATTGAAGTAGTTCTACTTGTTGAATAAGTTGGATCTAAAGCAGCTCTGTCACCGTTGCATAAACTAGAGATTGAGAAAAAACATCCAGTCTTTACTAGCCCACGTATTTGACAGACTGAGCTTATACTTACCTAGTGTTACAGCAGCAAGTAGTGACTGAAAATGAGTCGAACATCATATCTCTACATCCTAAGGTAGTATCCGGCTACGTCAGGGTCGTCGCTAGGACCCACATCAAATTGTCTCAACGGTTCAAATAGTATGATCATTGCAACTTTTCTTAACTGATCTCCTGGTAAGTTGAAGAGATCTGGATCAGTTGTATCAGCAGTACGAGATATCTTTTGCTTCAGAGTAATTTTCCTCCGGTCTCCTTCCGCTTCTGTACACTTAGGGTTTGATTCTGTACGTTCGAATATTCCTAGTCCTAGCGTGGCCACCCCTCACTCATAAAAAGTAAACTTGTTCTTGTTTCTTGGTAAGCTGACTCATTGAGAACATTTATAAAACTGGCCTATGTAGTTAGAAAATTGATTAGAAACCGAGAAACTGATTAACTTCCACAACATACCAGGCAATACGGTGCATCATTGTCCGTTTGTTCGACATCCTCATGAGACCAAGGTTCATCACACTGAACACAGCAGTAACACTTGATTGCAGTGGCAGTATGAAGTATTCCTATTAAAAATAAAGATAGAAAATTCGAAACTCCCTTTTATTTGAGACCTTTTCTACAACACATTCAGATAAACGTACCTAGGAAGATAAGGATACTCAGTGTTTTGAATATCAGGTTTATCATTGAGGTGGTGGAGATTGATAGGAGAAGAATAAGGAGTTAGTTTCTACTTTTTTTTCATCTTTTACTTTTTCTCTCCCTCACTATGTTGGACAATACAGACAAGAAAAAACGCGCCTCAGCTGCCTTACATAGATTAAGCAAAAGAGAGAGAGAGAGATACTGGGACATATTTCTACACGTTAGGCGGCGTATAAAGCCATAGCTCCGGCGAAAAAATATTTAGCCTCGGTAGTTGCCGCGTATGACTGATAAAAAATGTTTTGACCTGCGACAGCGGTGCGTCAGTCTTCTGGTATTTCATTTAATTGCGAGAAATCTACTTAATGATAGCAGATGCACGGCAGAAAAGCTGCGATATAAGTTCACCTAGAGCAGATCATTTTCGATAGTCTGATCACGCAGTTTATCCAAGGCAGAGAATATTCCGTCTCAGTTTTCTATAAATTATATACTAGAGTAACGTAATAATCCACACTTGTAAAGGATGTGTGTCTCTCCCTCACTTTTGGCTTAGCAAATATGTCGTTTACTTAAGGTACGATATTCTTTGTTTTCAAGTGCAGTAGTGAAATTAGACATCGAACTTATACGAATTCCGTGTGCGAACACTCTAAGATCTTTGCTTTGAAATGCGGTTACAGGCGGATGTCTATCCCTTCGAAGAAGAAAGGTATGAAGCCCAATGCCTTGGAAAGCGATCTTATGGTGTATCCACTAGTATTTGAACTCGGTTTTTATTAAAAAAGTGAGTGTGGAACTTTTTTCGTAAAATAAAATCACATCTAAGCTGCATAATTCTTTCGAAATAGCAATAAAAAAAAATTTATCATGAATTCCGTCAAGTACAAGATATGTGAAAAAAGTTAACATTTTCTCGGCGGCACATTTAACTTTCTGTTTTCTGCTACAAGACTCGCCGCAAGCTTCAGAAACTCTTGTTCCTTTGAACTGAGTTAAAGGGCTCATTGAGATTCTACAGTGAAAATATTCCTATTCGTTTTGTGAACCTTAGGTTAAGCAGCAAATTTCTTTTTGTCTTTTTAGGCCAGAAAAAACACTTCATTCATGCTATGGTCTGTTATAGATTATGACTTTTCTACGTGTTCATCTTCTTCGGAACAAAGCAAAAGACATGTAGAGAAATAAATACAAAGTTTTCTCAATTGTACAAATTCAAGTCCACATCAGCTCAATGAAAAAATTTTTCTGTTTCTCATTTCAGTTTAGAACCATCCAAGCCATACTGAAAAGTAACAACATGATCGATGGAAATACAGGAGAGGCGCCACCACCACCATCACCATCCCCACCACCGACAATAGCTTCCATAGCAGTTCTTTCACTATTGCAAAAACTAAATATAGGGAGGAATGGCAAAAGAAGACAAGTTATCTACGATGAGAAAACTTGGTTTTCTAGCCGACTTGCTTACTCTGTCTGACAGCAACATATAGACCATGAGAATGAGGAGTATTCCTCATAAACTCTACATCCTAAAGTAGTAGCATTGCATAAACCGCCCCTCTCAGGATCAGGATCTTCGTCGCCGTTTCTAAAAGGTGCCCATAGCATGTTCATATTTGCACGAAAATATGCTACAAACTCCTGAACTGGATCATTTTCACTTTCCACTTTCAGGCCAATTGAACAGCTTAGAAAGTGATATCTGGAGTAATTGATGTAGAACTGGAGAAGGTAGCTGAAAAAGTTGATAGAGAAACCGGGGAAATATTATAAAAAGTTTGTAATTTAATTTTAGGAGCACTCAGTACTCGAGTTCTATTTTTCAGGAAAAACAGTGAGATTCTAACGGCAACATGGAGTTGCAGCCGTGATTTTAGAGAGATCTCTATTTTCCCTCTACGCTCTTGCTGACCAGACGACAAATTAGGCGCTATCTAGTTCAGTATGCCCCAACAAACAGAATTGTTCTCTTCGGAAGAACTTCTCTCTCACACTTCTACAGATCAGTCACTTTCGAAATAACTCGACGATTTTTACCACCATCTTAACTTTTTTCTCATGCATTTCTTAATAAATGAAGAGCAGAATGTATGGACGTTACCAGACTGATTTCTTTTAATCCAGCTATTATTCGTTGTAGTCCGGAGCTTCTTAAAATTATTCAGTGAGAGTGATGGAAAATGAGATTAGGTAATTAGAAGCTTCAGAAGTGTCGGCGTTAAATTTTTTAGCGTGAGAAACTTATATACCTTCCTTTTTGGGTGTAGAAAGTAACGGTGAGAAATGTGCTTCTCGAAAACACGACCTTTATTTAAGACCCTCTAAACTATAAGACAACACTTCAATTTGAATTAATGGGAGCTTACTTCTCTCGAGTACCAAAACTGTAGACGAGCTTTTGAATTCAAAAACGCCATAACTCATAGGTTTCTTCTAGGCCAACATTTTTGAACTTCACGAAATTCATAAAAAGAGGGCAAGTCCTTCGACTATTTCTAACAAAACTTACCGTGGTGAAACTGTAACGAGGAGAATTAGGCAGGAGAAGAAAATGAGTGGTGTAACGTGGTGGTGACTTCGTATACTACGGTCTCTAAGGGAGAAAGGTGTCGACATCGTCGTCGATCGAAGTGTCCGATGTATTCGAACGAAATTCGAAGGTCTTCTTAGTTGACCATCAAGGTCATTTGCGTTGCAGTTTTTGATACTTGAAAGTACAGGAGAATTGTCCAGAATTAGGGAGCGTCGACGATGGTGGCGGAGACAAACGAAGAGAATGATGTTCGAAATCAGAAGAAGAATAAACGGGAGAGGAATCCTTATGAGGACAATAGTCAGAAGGTAGGAGAATTTGAATTGATTAGTCAAAGTTAGAATGCTGGTCGATGTCGTGGAATTTGTTACTTCTCCGAGTGTGCTGCTACCGTAAAGACAGACCATAACGTACGCTTGCTCCACAAATTCTCTGAAAGTTTGAAGAAAACAAAGTTATTGGCCTTGATGTTCATGTCTCGCTTCAGACTCACCTTTTTTCAAAAAATCCTGGCGTGAAGAGTAAGGTGTGCACAGCAACCGTAGAAGGTAGTTCCTAAAGGCCGCTCTTTTCGCCTTTCTATGACGTGAGCGAGGGTGGATCCCAGTAAAAAAGACGAACTCGGGTATACCAACGTTGGTCTGTGACTGAAAATGCTATTTTTGTGCTTATTCCATCATGTTCGTTTGGAGAACTTCCGTGGGCGTTTTCTGTGACTCGCTGTCCAAGAGAAAATCATCCGATTGAAAAAAAAGTGTTAAAAATAATCTTATTCTTTTGAGGTAAGCAGTGTCCAAAGGTGTCGACATACTCTAAACTTGGGTGACATCGAGCATATGCCTCCGTCAATTTGATTGTCCACGCAGTTCCTAATTATATGGGTTTGGATAAGCCACTTATATTGCATCTAGGTTCGTGAAGCCTTCTTTTGTTTGATGTATGTCAGATAGATAGTTCAAACTAAGTAGCTTCTCTTCATCGAAGTGCCATAAGTACTTGACACCTGCTGTCTTTCTCCTACTCCCCCCCCTTCTTTGATGTCCTAATTGAACTTCTTCGAACAAATATTACGCTCAACGCCCTTCCTAACAGCTTTCATAGGTCGATAGATTATATAGCAGCGTTCAACCGTCAAACACACCGTCAGCCAGACACTGACACAGCTTGTCCAAGAACATATGCAAAGGACGTTTTAGCAGAGTTAGAACGCTCCCACAGGACAGGGTGTTCAGGCGACAAAATGGTATGTAGACACGAACTTTCACTCGAAATCCTTAATCAATGCTGCTCACGTTTTCACTGAATAACTGAAGTGGACACTGATTGAAACTCGTTTGATAGTTACTCGAGAGACAAAAATCAATCAAGAGAAACACGACCCAAACTGATCGTCTTACTGAATCAGCGACGGCAATTGCAGAAAAGTAGTAGGCGTAGGCTGAACGTCTAAAATGGCGTGAGTTGTGGAAATAGTAAAAGGCGAGGGAGTTGAATGTCAAGCCAAAGATAAAGAGAAAGACAGTCGGAATGATGTGTCCATAAGTGTATACGAGGGCAGTACGAGCCTGACATTGAGGATCATCAGATGAAGTGTAGCTGTCGTTAAAGTCAGAGGAGTTTGACATTTTGATGTCGAGGAAAGGAGAAAAGCCCGTCGCTCAGACTCTGCTTTGCGTATTGATTTCTGCTGAGAATCGAGAAGAAAGGAGTGGCGTTAACTGATTGATGATTACACGCCTTGCCTCTGCATGAGGTGGTTTGATCTGATTTCTTCTTGTGTGGTGGTAGTGGTGGATGATCTCATTAACATACCACAACAAAAAGAAAGTAAAAGGACAGAGAAGATCATAAGAATGTACAAACACTCATCACTAATTTGTCAATTATTTTTACTCTCACTCTGTTTCTATTATTTATCACGCACCCTAAAAGAGAAGCGAAGGAAGAAGAAGAAAAACTGATTCCAGTAAACTAGTCTAATAGAAAGCATCACTTGATAACAAATAACAGGTTTATGCGTTCGCGCATTTCCTTCCTTCTTCTCCTTCTACTAATTTGGCACAAAAAAAATTAAATGACGATTCGAAAAAAACAAGATTAAAATGTAAAGGACGTAAGGCGCCGCTAATTCAAAGGAGGAGCAACATCTTATTTCCGCTTTTAATACACATATTCGGATAGAGAATTTCACGCTGAGTCCGAATATGACCTTTTTACTTTGATTTTATTGAGTTTTGG